TTATTTTTTCGGTCAAATATAAAAGTTAAAATATGACTTTTATTTTTTTCGGTCAATTATAAAATTTAAATCTGACAAATTTTTCGATCAAAATAGCAGTTTACATATTCACAATACATTGGCTGCATTTCTTTATTCATTCTGAGCGTTTGGAATAAACTTTTTTGTTTACTTATTCTTTAGAACGTTCCTGATGATATGTCAACGTATATTTCAAACGCATTCTGTTTATTCCGGCTGTGAAATGGAATTATCCGGAATGTATAAAGAAACGCAGCCAATATGTTTTAATAATAAATGCACATCGTTTCATTTACAGTTTTCTATCTTCTGTAAATGTATTATGGGTTTTCTTGGAAATACGTAAATGTCTCGTAACCGTGTAAACCTCGTAAGCTTCATTTTGTATGGAAAATCTCTTTATTTACGAGATTTACGCAGTTAGGAGGCATTTACGCGTTTCCATGAATACCCATAATATATTTACAGAAGATAGAAGACTGCAATTAAAAGGATGTGCATTTATTATTAAAACATATTGTATTGTGGATATGTAAACTGCCATTTTCACTGAAAAATATGTCACTTTTATAATTGACCGAAAAAATAAAAGTAAAATTTTAACATTTATATTTAACCGAAAAATTGAAATTTTGAAAATATATAACTATTATTTTTGGTCCCAGGTAACAAGCAATTGTTAAGCAAAAAAAACCGACTTCAATTCATACAAATATCTAAAAGAGTACCGTTAATTTCTCTTTGATCCAATGATCGGATCTTAACCAAATTAGTACGGGACCATCTCCGAGGTACCACCTTTCCATAAAAAAAAAAAATAATTATAGAAAACGGTTAAGCGGTCCAAAGTTATGCGGTAACATACATATGTACATAAAAAAGTATTCCGACGAATTGATAACCTCATTTTTACAAGTCGGTGAAAAATACCAAGCATCAGTCTCTTTTATTTCTAAACATCAGTAATGAAAAATATGCGCAACCATGGTTAGATACTAGTTTTCAACTAGGTTGTGCTAGTTCGATCTTTTATTCTAGTGCGGTTTAGAAATAAAAGTCTGATGCCTTGTATTTTTACATTTAGGAACTCACCCAGCGTAAGGATGCTGGTTAAACCAATTTGAAATACTTGCATGCGCCTGAAACCTCTTCTGGAGGATCTATGTAGTTTCGCTTTGATGGAATTATTAGGACTACCTGTATGCAAAATACATAAAATAAATTAGTGCAGCCGCTTTATTTGTTGCTATTTTCTGTGACAGTATAAAATAGTTCCGCTTTCGCTTATCAGGGTTTAATCACTGCGCATGTGTACAACTGCAGGCTTACTGACTTTCAAAAAGATTCAACGGCTTCTAATCGTTTTAGGTGAAGCGCACGGAATTCTTGAATACGAGATATCATTTGAATTCACCCAACCCAGTTTATTTTGCTAATTTCCTTAAGCATTTTATATAGACACAAGTTTTTTTGGTTAATTTATGTGAAAGATCTTAATTATAATCGCAAAGCGCAATCTACATACATATATGATCAGTTGGTAAAAGGTGTGAAGACCAAAAAAAAAAAAAACAAATGCTTCAGCAAAACAAACTTTTTCAAAGTAATTCCTCTGTATAGCAACAGCAACACCATTGGAAACAAGCTAATAGTTCAGCTGTGTACGATGTGTCAGCCTACATTTAATTTGCCTTAAGTGAACTTGTTCAAGCGATTAGGATGCGAGCGAGAACGGTATATGTATTCTGCCGCAAACTTCTTAACTTATCATTGTAACCATCAAATACTTAAATCGTTATATCACCATACTCTTGTGACCATTTTTCATATGAGTTCAAACTCTGCGACGCAACAGAACGTCGAATTCGCTTTAGCGAATTATGAAAATCATTTTCGGTTATTGGACGCATTGCACTAATATCCAAGCATTTGACTTGTTCCATGTTGAGCTCCCGGATTGGTTCGAGGGCTGCATCCTTTGCTAAAGCTGTTAGGTCTGAGCCTGAGTATCCTTCTGTTAGTTTTGCCAAACGACGTAAGGCCTCTGTACCCAGCGGACTGCCTTGTTTTTCCAATAATCGGCTTAACAATAGCTCGCGTGTATCCATATCTGGCAGTGAGACATAAACACGCTTGGTAAAACGTCGCAAAGCTGCTTCATCGAGCTCTTGTGGCCTATTTGTGGCAGCCAACACGACAATACGATCACCTTCGGGATTTCCCGGCAGACCATCGAATTCAACTAAAAATTCCGTGACCAAAGGATCTCACTTTTGTTTAAAAGTACTTTTATTATTAT